TAATCAGTTTTGCACATTATCCCAGAGTATCTATTTACCAAAGTTTCACCAAAATTTGATTAGTGGTTCTTGAGATAACGGTGGAACAAAAAAAGTGACATACATACATACAGATACAGGGTAACTGCAAAGACTCCCTTTTGTGCTTCGCAAACTTTAATCGATTAACACATTCATCAGTGGGACAAAACTTGCATTGGTAGTTGCTCAATTGTAGTTTGAACCAACCAACAGATAGCCAGCCAGCCATCCATCCATCACAACAAAGTGAACGGAGCTCTGCCTACTTCAGATTTATTTGAGCAAGTGCAGTGATCACTCCTTACAAAGTAGGCTGGGAGCACTCGTCTTCTGCAAGATGTCAAGCACTACTGCCTCCAAGTGGTGGCAATCAGTGATCCACTTCATTGCATGAAGGCAGCACTTCTTAGCACAGGCCAGAGACAATCCTGTTTCCAGGCAATGACAAACATCAACACTTAATTTTTAGAGTTTTTTTCCACAAAGCTTTAATCAAGCATCTCAACATATATTACAACATAAATCTGTTTAGCGTTTTCCACCAACACGAGGAGCTGCAGATTTAGACTGCTGCTTCGCCGTTTTCTGCAGCTTCTGTTGTTTTGACTGTGACTGAAAATGTACAAAAAAAAAGTCCTTATAAATAATTCTGGAAATAAAACCAAGGAGTGATTAAGGTGACAAAATATATGTCCAGATGAGTGGATGTTTACAAAAATTCCTGTTTGTGTTTTGCAAAACAGGAAAAAACTCTGCATTGTAACTAGTGACAATAAAAATCTGAATAGATATTGGGATAGCATTTTTATGGAGCATGTCCTGATGAGAATTCGCTGAAAAACTGAAAATTGATTGCATGCATCTTATCACAAATGATCATCTTTCATGCCCTCAAAATATATACATTTGTTTTGTCCACCGAGTCAGCAATATGGTCAGCTATTTGGCTGGCATTGCAGCTTTGTTGCAAGCAATATAGTATTCGAGGAGCCAGTAGAAAGTTACCAGATTTGGAGGAAACATCACGGCTACATTGTCAACCAATTACCTGACTATAACTGCTGGTTAGGTTGTACTCAAATTCACAGCCACAGTAATTTTTGCTGCCAAAAAATGTTTCGATTTAGCATTTATGAAGACAAAATTTCCAAAATTTAGTGACACTAAATGACCAGTGTAAATGGCCCTAACTACATATGACTACCTATAACAAATTGTGTTGTATGATCTACAGCCAATCAGAACTCATGTTACAGGCTGACATGGCCTGTTTTTATGTGTTCTAGTTAGTTGACAAATCCCATGAAAGGAAAGCTACCAACACAATTTTTGTATACTAGGTAGTTGGTTCAGATATAGTAAGATTAGTATAACTGTGATCATAAACTACAGCCACTACATTCGTCAGATTATAAACAGATTAGGTACAATAATGGCTGTTATTATACGACACACTCATCACAGCATCATACAAACTGAAATACTTACCTTTGTTGGTGCAGTAACTGATTTCTTTGCAGCTTGCTTGGCCTTGTTCTTTTCCTTAGCAGCCCTGGAGAGGATTGACAACAGCCAGTTAGAATGTACATTTATCTACACTGTCTAATTTTTCTTTAGTTCACCATGAATATAATGGTACTGGACTGATACAGGATTGATAAGAGTCATGTAAAACCAGACTGTCAAAATTATTCATATATAACCATGACAAATGATGGAAATAAAGATCAGTGCAAAGCTCACAATAGAACTTGGACATAAATAGCTACTTAGATCTGGCAAGGGAGCCACAAGACATGTTTTCATTCCTAAAATAGTGTTCCAATCTTTCCAGTGCGTCCACTGTTCTCCTAACCTATATAACAATGATATTTGAAACAGTGGATGTGATGACATAGAATGGAATACTTTTTGAGAGGCAAAAACAAATCTTCTGGCTTACTTGGTCTCAATAAAGATCTGGGTGACCATTTGCATTTTCAGATCTATTAGATAGCAGTGTTCTCCCCACATAGAACAAAGCATGGCGGCACCGCCATGCTTGGCGACCCGGCCGCCACGCTTGGGCTCGGACCGCCATGCTTTACAACTTCACCGCCATGCTAATAGGATGCATTGTTTACATCCATTTGACCCACTCACTCGTAGCACTGCATAAATTAACACCGTCAATGCCACGGCGGTTTGAACTTGCCGGGACGAATTAAACAGTCCCATTGTTAAACACGTGTGAAGTACAGACGCTGTCAATGGGGAACCAGGGATTGAAATAGAATTTTTTCCCTGCATGCACAGTGTGCATGTTAAATTTGAAATTTACCTGCACTAACTTGTTGTGAAATGCACCACTTTTAAAGTTTAAATAAAATTGACGGGGTCTCGATTGATGCGATCACAAAAGAATTTGCTTTTTTTAGTTGTCTTACAATGTTGGTTGAACTTAATTTAGGCTTAGTGAATATAATGAGAAATTGTTGTGTTAATTTCTACATGCACAGTGTGCACATTAAATTTTGAGTTTACTTGCACTAGCTAATAATCTATGTGCATAGTGCAGTGTGCACCAGAGTATTTCGATCCCTGGGAACAAATTGTCACTCGAGTTGCAAACACCGAGATGCTATATGACAAAACATGTAAAGGAAAAAAAGGTGATGCCGCCCGGTTAAAACGTACAATCACCGCTAGCACAGCAAAGAAACGGAAGCGTGTAGAAACACAGAAACGGCGTGAGGCTGATTTTGATGAGTCGTGGAAGAAGATATTTCCCTGGTTGAGGTCAACTTCAGATTGTTCAGGTATGATTTCGTAATTTTAGAAATAAAATGCCAATGTGTGTATGTTTTGCCGATCGTAAGAACACCAAATATGGTAGGCCTACACCGATTTCAATCAACATCTTAGACACGAGGCTGGTAT